AAGACCTCGACAAGGAGGGGATGGAAAGGCAATCGCAGCCCCGCAGCGAGCTGCTCCCGGAATATCACAATCTCATCAGGACAGTGTTCCCAAGGAAAACTACCCGAAGGTATGAAATAAGCGTACTCCCCAGGCAAATTGTAACAGGTAATAAGGGATTGGAGCCCCTTAGGCATCATGGTCGAGGGGCCAAACTTGTCTAACGTCTGACCCCGACGAGAGGTGGACGCCAAACTACCCGAGGTGACTCGACCTACAGGTTTGAACTCTTCCTCGAGCTCTACCTCCGGCTCGCTAGGACTATCAGGGGATGCAACTCGGTTCGTGGAACCTGCATCTGACCCACTTGAAGAACCGTCTGAGCTATCCGAGCTAGACATCGAGGAAAGAAGGTGGATTCCAAGAAGGTACTCACTCGGAAAAAAGCTTGAACAAGACTACGGGAACTTGAACAAGCAAAAAACCTTGAACGTGAACTGAAAGCCTAGACGCGAGCTCAAGAGGCAAAGCACAGAAGTGACAAAGCGACTGGGGTCCCCCACTATTTATACCCACAGTGACCGAGAAGCAATAGCACATATCAAGGCCAATCCGACGGACTGCAGTCGCGTTGACCGCACGTTTTTCTGAAACTGACAGAACGCCAACGCACGTCTCCTCACATTAAAGGCGGCAGTGACACGTTTTCAAAATTTGAAAAGACGCCTGCTATCACGTCTCCCAGCGGCGCGCTTTTTGAATTTTTGAAATAAAGCGCGCGCTGTCACGTCTGTCGGCATTTGTAGGCAGGTCGGCGCGTTTCCCGTCTTTTGGGCGCTCGAAGAAACCCAAAGAACCCTGACAACGCACCTCACGCTATTAGTCAACCGAGATTCGTAGTACGGGACAAATCCACTTGCCACCTTGCGAACTCCCCGCGCCAAGGCAAGACCCTTAGCACGAGGAGTGGGGGGCAATTGATGAAGGAAGATTTGGGCCGACCTCGTAATCACTGAACACGTGGCAAAGGCAAACAACTCGGCACAACAGCGCGCCCAGGGCGCGAGCATCAAAGGGAGGACCTAGCAGTCCGAACTCCCTACCAGCAGTCCAAACTCCCTACAAGGAGTCCGAACTCCCTACAAGGAGCCCGAACTCTCCCTTAGGCCCCGAGCTTCACACAAGGCAATGACCCGAACTGGCCCGCCTCATGGCAGTTCGGGACACTCTCCTATCTGAACTCAAGACTTCACCTCGCTCACCACTCCAGCACTTCGCTTCCAGGACGCCGAATTGAACAAACGTACCATACCTGACACCGAGGAGGTCCGTATCCAAGGGCGGCGCACCTGAATGACTTGGGATCTGACGCTTGACAGCTGCACTTCAATGGCCACCTGCCACCACCACCTACCACCATCATCGCCAGTCGCAGAGACGGCTCCGACAAAAAGAGCAGTGGCGGTTCTGTTCAGCAGGGGGGATGACACCCGAACTAGCAGGAGTCCAGGGGTAGTCATACCCGACCTGACTGAAACTTAGAAGTGAGTGCACGAGGTGGTTATAAAAGGCTCCCTACCCCCCAAGAACAAGGTATGTGAACCTTGCGCCATCTGGTTTTATCTTGCCTTTGAGAGAATTCTAACTTGAGCTTCGGAGCATTCATACCGGATTCCCCCCGGAGCTTCCTCATCTTCTCTGTTTCAGGCTCTCTGTAGCTCCATTCAAAGGCAAGGTCGTTGACAGCTAGGACCAGCCAGATTGCGCACCATCAATTTTCATTCATGTGGTGTTAAGTAGGTAATTGCCATAGGACCTGGTCCTCTGGATGAACTGGGCAACCGAAAGCCACCGACTGTTTCACTGGGAAATACAATATTGTACTCCTAGTATTTATTTAGTTTATAGAGAGACTGAGCGATATACTTTTTATGCAGGTTCATTGTCTTTTTCCTTGTAAAGAAAATTAGATAATGTTCAAAGGGTATTTGTTTCATTTCACATACCACTTAACGTCCGTTAATTAACTGTTTTGGGCTAAATTGACAGTTTTCCAAAATTTAGATACAGCAGTGATACATTTTAAAGTTCGGGTACTAATTTTGGCATTAACCACAATGTTTAGGGTATTAAATTGAAATTTTCCAAAAAAAGAAAAAAAATTATTAATTGGAGTTGCTTAATTGGAAGATAGAAACGACAAGGCAAGCAACTCTCGGTCTCAGCTTTTCCGAGCTGGGAATATGGGGCCATAAATGGGTCTTGGGCCCATTACTCCCACCATATTTTGCACCATTATTAGGACCCACCACTTTATTGGTTATTTGTTCGGGTAACTGCTATGCATTTATAAGTTAACTATTAACTATATAGTTCAGTGTTATTTACTCTGAAATGAGAAAAAAAATGTAAAAAATTACCGACAATCTATTCTGCACATCCCGACTGATATTCTAGGTCGGTGTAGGTCTTAACTCTCATTCTCTGAAGAAGGAAAATGACTTATTACTTTTTTAATGGTATTTAATTAAGTATATTAAATATTTAATGCGATCTATTTAATATTTTATGTTAATTAATTATTATATTTCTTATGACCAATTTGTCGATTTTCTGTTGGGTTTTAATTGTTTGTAAATAATAATTGTTAATTAAAATTTAGACCAATTATTAATTGTTTTTAGAAAATAATAATAGCTAAATAGTTAAAATCATTAGGCTTTGGGACATTCTAACATTAATTGATAATAATAGTCGATTAATTAAAATCATTGGATTTTAGGGCTATTTTAACTTTTAATTAATAACACTTATTAATTGTAAATTATTTATAAATTATTGATCAAAATTTATCATTTATGTGAAATTAGGACCCCAACTGAACCAAACCAAATCGAATTCAATTCTGAACTCCAATTCGATTTAATTCAGTTGAAGAAACCAAATTGACCGATTATACACCCCTACTATTAGGATAGAAAGTCTCTACACCGAACAAAAACAACATTAAATAGATTACTAATATAAAGGATAAATGTGAAGCAAGGGTTAGGTGGCAGAGTAGTGGGGCAAGAGACGACAACGGCCAAATAGACCCCAACACTCCTAATCCAAATAATAATTCGGTTGGGCCTTGAGAGAGAGAGAGACACCCATGCCATGCCTGTGGAATAGAACAAGGAACACACCAAACAAGGGCATAGCCCAGCAACATTACAAAAGGTTTAATTTTAATTGAATTGCCTTTATTATTTTATTTTTTCTTTTGAGGGAATCTCTATCAATCAATCTATCTATATATCCCTCAACCAACAAATACCTATCTATTTACAGCAAAGCCTTCCGAAGAAAAATGTATAAGTTTAATATATATATATATATATATATATATAATAGGGCTCTCAAATCCTGTTATTTATTAATAATAATATTATTTTAAGTTGAAGCAAGAAAGTTAGTTGATATGCTTTATTTAACAATAACTAGTAAGCATTTGTGATAAAGTAGGACGTGGAGTCGAATCAGTTACACTATGGCAATGTTTTGTTGCCAGAAAAGGAAGACCTTTTGTTTAACAGCTGGGCACTGCCCACAACTATCTTGGTAAGCACAACACGACTTAACACCGGGGGAAACTGGAAAGTTAATTATCCCCGGTGCCACGTAGTTTGGTGCTGTATCGAGTCTGGACCGTAGCCAAAACTTTGGCAGTTTTTGGAAATATCACGCTAACAGGAGAGTGGATAAATTAATAATTGCTTTAATTTATTTTGATAAAAAATAAAATCATAGGCGTGAATAGATGAACCACCACCATAATATTATTATGTTGGGCCCAAAAACTCTCTCAACGTCTGAGCAGCAAAGATCGCCTCGCATGGATTTCGTGAACCGCCTTAAATACTGATAGTAAGTAACATTAACCTCACACTCGCATCCCGCTTTTGTATTGAGAACATTTATAGATGAATAACAAATACAAATATAAGAAATGTTTCATCAGATTGTAGGGTCGGTGTAAAGCATACTCTTATGAATACATTTGGACTCTTAAATAACAAACTTTACACAACTTAAATCCTTGCGAAGGAATCAGCCACTGAAACTAGTCCGTATCTGCTCCTTCTTCACTCAGTCCTCACAATATGCTCTGGCCATATATAAAAAACATCTCCTGTACTTATATGTGGGTTCGATTATGATGTAGAAAAGTTATGATATTTGAAAAACAACTGACCAATCAATTAAAATGATAAAAGGTAATAGAAAATAAAGTATTATTAATCGAAATTCATGAATGGATTTTGATTAATTAAAACTTTTTTCATATCGTATCTTTTCCGCAGCATAGATTTTACCATTAGATGTTTTTTTACATACGGTGAGATCGTCACTACGAGATCTGTGTAAGAAGCATTTTTTAAGGCTTTCCTTTCTGTTCTTATTTTTTACTTCAAACCAAACAAATACAGCCAAAAGGAACAGATACCAATTCCACTAAAACATGTGGTGGACCCACATCGTCATCATCCACTTAAGTTTGGGCAATTAGACGGTTATTCTGAAATTTTCCCCTTTTTCTAGGGAGAAGCTTCCAAATTTCGATGTATGCAATAATTCAATAAATAGACATTTTGTGTCTTAACACGTGCAAACCATGTCCTAAGTTCCAAACGGTGGAGCAAAATACTCTTATTATTAAAAGAACAACTGTAAACACCATTCCCTCCTGGCTGCATCTGCATGCGCGCACTACGTGTGCGGTCTGAGGTAGCAAAAGGGATAAATTGCCATCACGAATCCACGTAGAAAACGCATCTATCAAGAGTTCAGACGTGAACTCATCTATCAAACGGCTCAGTCCTCAAGAAAATTTGTCCTCACACCGTCCTAACCCTGCATTGGTAACATTTTTCGAAAATGTACGGTCGTGTGTTGTGAAGACGAATCCGGTCTCCAAACGGAACCAGATATTCTCGGCATATTCCCCTCTGGAAAATCGTTTATAAAAAAAATTCGGGGTCTCGTGTTCTACGGCCAGAGGGAGACGCAGTTACAGGGGAGAGGAAAACTGCCCAGCCAGGCTTACCCATCAAGGAAGAAACCTAACGGGAGGAGACGGCGCACCCCAACGTTGCCGTCGATTCCCTTAGCTCAATGGAATATGCTACCCAACTTTGAGAGCTTCTCCCGAATGACAGCGACGTTCTGATTCTCCAAAAATACAAAGAACAGGAAGAATATCCGAAAGCATAAATTCACCTTCGAATATTCTTCCGTCAAGATCCCCGTTTCCTTCCCGTTACGTCTCCTCCGCATTCTTTATAAACCCCCGCCCCGCTCGACCTTCTATCCTCTGACAAACCTTGTAATTACCCCTGTATCCTTCCCTCTCTCTCTCTCTCTCTCATCCCACAATGGCTCTCAAAACTGTTCATGTTTCCGACGTCCCTCACCTCGACCAGGTCCCGGAAAATGCCACGATACCTCTCTATTCAGATAGGTTCTCCAAAGGTGAGTGTTGAATCATAACCTTTGGTTTCTTTGTATTGGCCGTGGTTCACCGCCTGATCTTACGTTTGCGTTTTTTAATCTATTTGTTTCCCCATTATTCTCGTACCACAGTTAATGAAGGTCTCGCAACCACGTTTAAGTCGTCAAAGTTTCTTGTGATCGGGCATAGAGGGAATGGAATGAACATGTTGCACTCGTCCGACCGGAGAATGAAGGCAATAAAAGAGAACTCAATCCTGTCCTTTAATACGGCCGGAAAGTTCTCCGTCGATTTTGTCGAGTTCGACGTTCAGGTAAGGCACCGACCAGCGATATCACTTTTGTGTTTTTTTTCCCAGTTTCTCTTTGTTCCCTTTACCTAATTAATTTCCATGCCTGCCTTTTTTAATTTTTTGTTTCTGTTTTGATTTATTATTTGGTTATTCTACGATCCCGGAGAAACTGTGGTTGCCTGAATTCGTTTTTTCGGTTATCCATTCCGGAATACAATACTACAATTTTTTGCGCGGTGTTACTGTCGGCGACCTACCGCCGCGTAAAAGTTGAGAAACTTGCAAGATGCAAACCGGCGTGTTTACCGCAAAACCGCTCAGATTTAGGAAAAGGAGGAGGGAGGACGATGGCACGTATACGGTCAACTCAACAGATGTGGGTGGGCTCTCAGCTCAGCTCTGCCTTATCCTTGTCTAGAGTTGTCCTCCTCCTCCCATGGGCCACTGGCCATGGCAGAGTCGCCTTGTGCTAGTGTGCTGAGTTGGGAACCCAAGTTTGACCCACGCTGACAACCATCTTACGTAGCGCTGGTATCTGAAGAGTACTAATTACTCTGAAGGGACCGGTGCCATGGGGAAATATCTGCTACACCCATTGCATAGCCTTGGGCTAAAGCCGTGAATAACAGCCCTCTATGTATTAATGATGCGAATCGGATAAAGTGGGCTCCAACATACATCCAAAGGCCATGATTTCAACCACACCTATCCATAGAATAGACAAGCTGCTCTGATGGAGTCTGTTAGACTGACTGTTATAAACAAGGCGTGCACAAAGGTCAACGGTCCACCTAAGCAAACCAAATTATATGTATGACATCGGCTTCGGTGCGCAGAGGACCAAGGCTATATGAACGGTGTCAGCACAGTCTTGTGAGCACTGAAGCCGATCTCGTGTGTATTTGAATGGCAACCGAAGAGTTTACTCTCTTGTGAGCCCGCCCTGAGGCTGAGGACCTTTATCATTGATAAAAAATCCTAATATTGATAGAGGTGGGATCTGCTCCTCCATACTGTCAGTCTGTCACCATTAATTGGGCCTATCTGTTGTTGAACGAAATTAGTGGTCCACCCAGTTCTTCTCCAACTATTCAAACCCTTTAACGTTTTCATTCACCCAGTTTCTCCAAAATTATAATTGTGGACCTTCTCAATTTTTGCTTGCTCCCAACTTTGTTAGTCATTCTCCCTGTAGTCTGTACTCTGTAATATGTCAGTATATTGATTTCTTTATTTACCCTTTTCGGTTTCCAATTTTCTATTATTTTAGACAAGACTATAAGCAAAAGTATAAATTTTTTGTAGGTGACTAAAGATGACTGTCCAATTATTTTCCACGATAATTTCATCGTCACCGAAGAGAACGTAAGATCCACTAGTCTTTCTCTCCTTTTCTTCTGTACCGCTCCTTTGTCTCTTCTTATTCTTCATGATTGGAAGTTTGATCTACGTTATTTGTTTTTATTAAAAAAACCCTTTTCATTTTTCAGGGGGTCATAGCAGAGAAGAGAACTACAGAGCTTACTTTAGCTGAATTCCTTCTCTATGGGCCACAAAAAGAGCCTGGAAATGTAATTGCTTTCTGTTCCTCCTGCCATGCTTGACTCTCCTTTTATTTCTTCTCTCCAAATCCATCAGATAAAACTAAAACAAAGGTTGCCTTGTATCAAAATTTCAGGTGGGAAAAGCTCTATTTAGAAAATCTGGTAAAGGGAGTGTTTTCAACTGGACAGTTGAGGACGACGACTGTCTCTGCACATTGCAAGAGGCATTCCAGAAGGTTGATACCAAGTTGGGTTTTAATATCGAATTGAAGTTCGATGACGACGTTATTTATCAAGAGCAAGAACTCATCCATGCTCTTAAAGCAATCTTGAGGGTATACTCCACTGGTCTTTTTGTTGTAGTTGGGATTGAATTGAAGTTTGAATGCATGAATATATGAGAGTTTCTTCTCGTCTTAATTGAGTTGTAATTGATGGGCAGGTGGTTTTTGAATACGCCAAAGATCGACCAATCATCTTCTCAACCTTCCAACCAGATGCAGCACAGCTTATCAGAAAGTTGCAGAGCACATACCCTGTAAGAGTCTCCTCTGTTCCTACCATAATACTATTATGCATCTTTTTCCCTTTTCAATGTGAATGATTGTAATGGCTATTCTCATGAAAACCAGGTTTTTTTCCTTACAAATGGAGGACACGAGATATACTCTGATGTGAGAAGGAACTCCTTGGATGAAGCCATAAAGTTGTGCTTGGCAAGCGGCTTGCAAGGGATTGTATCCGAAGTCAAAGCTGTCTTTAGAAATCCAGGAGCAATAGCCAAGATCAAAGAATCCAATCTTTCCCTCCTAACCTACGGCCAGTTGAAGTAAGTTTTCATTGTTAATGGAGTTTTAATATTCAATTCTAACTGATGCTGAGTTGTTGATGAAGATTTAGGACTATGAATCTCTCTAGTCTCTAGACTTGGATGATCTCTTCTAATCAAGATTTATTTTTCATGCTTTTCCATGTGTTCAGCAATGTGAGAGAGGCAGTTTACATGCAACACGTTATGGGAATTGATGGCGTTATTGTGGATCTTGTTCAAGAGATAACAGTGGCGGTTGCCGGTTTCATCAAGCCAGAAGCGGAGGGTGAAGAAGAGACCTCAACGGAAGGAGACGAACAGATTCAGGGGATGATGACAAGGCCTAAATTCTCCCAACGCGAGCTGTCATTTCTACTGAAGCTCATACCTGAGCTGATACAACCTTGAGGCACTAAATACAATCAAAACGAAAGAGAAACCAAACCAAACACGCAAGAGCAACACTTAACAGTTTTGAGTTTTGAGTGCCTCCCACTCCCTGTTTCAACGTGGGTGGGTGGCATCGTCCTTATCCTTGACGGTAATTGCTCTTTCAACTTTGTACTGAAAATGTATCTTGTCTTCACTTTTATGGGGTCTCTTTTTAAAATCACTAGGAAGATAACCATCAAGGTTTACAAGGTTATTTTTTCGCTTTCTTCTACATCTATTTTTCTGGTTCTGATGGAAATCTCTATAAGGCCCAGTTTCGTTTGCAGGAATGGAATGGGTTATTTCAATTTCAACTGTTTGGTTGGTACAATCGGAATCCCGTTCCTATAATAGATCATTTGGATTCTGATTCCGATTTCGATTCCAACTACAAACCAAACGGTTTTGGATACCCATTGGGCAGGCTCGGACCATTTGTTAAAATTTGAATGAAACCAGTTTGGAAGCTGAGGCTCGATGTAGAGTAAAATCCAATGTTTAGAGAATGGGATGAGCAAAGAATGAGAGAAGGGAGAGTTTCATGGGTTATAGGTTTAAGTAGGGTTAAATTAAAAGTCGAATTTACATTATATAATATATTTCACAATTTTATATTTAGTATGGTGGATTTTAAGCTCTTTGTTTGTTTGTTTGTTTTTTATTTATTTTTTTTTTGTTTGATAAATGAGGGGAATTGATCATCAGGTGATTCGATATTTAGTAAAGGCGGGTTCCACATTTAATGAAGTTTCTTAAATGTTAAAATTAGTCTAACGAAATTGCTCATTAAACATAAGCAGCAATGAAAAATACAATAAAAAATAAAAAAAAACATATTAAGCATGCTGAGACAAAAACAGGTAATTACGAGCATCGGGAGAAAAAACGAAATGAGAAATTTTTACAACTGATGCAAATTTAAGAAACACCAAAAAGTTTGGCTAAATGTCTTCAATAGAGATGAATTAACTATGCAAAACCTTCAAGGGGTATAAAGAAAGTAGGTACTATGGCACCTAATTTATGGCATAATTGAAAACGTGAAACTGTAAAAGCGGGAGAAGCCAAAGATCACTTGTTGTTACAAAACTCTCTTAACATTCCACCGCCTAATGTTCAAAGAATAGGCCCCATAGAAAGTCTAAAGTGTACAAAGAAGTAACTTGTGACTGTAGGGACGTAAAATGTGCAAGAAAAACATCTATCCATATTGTTATAGAAGCTGAAACATTTGGAGTTTGAATGTGTCGGAGAGAACTCGATGATTGTCAGAAAAAGGCCCAGGAATGATAATATCGTTGCAAAACAAATGGATACCCATGGCAGGCTCCAAAGGCACATTACACGCAAATCCGATCAAGGCCCAACAGAAATAAGAAAAAGAGCAGTGAAAATATAAAGACTAGAATGAACAAAAAAACCAAAGATCCTAAGTCTGTTCTATAGGCATAGATCAAAACTGTTCATCCCTCAAATCTGTCCAAATACTGATATAAAGAGAGATAAATGAAAACCTCCCGTCGAGAGGGAGACCCTCACGAAAACAAATTTGTTTTTGAAGCAAGGCAAAATTACATTTCAAACAAGACCAAGTATGGGTGGTCATATGGACAATGCAAATTTGGCAATTAATTAAGTGTGCAGTTTCATTACCTTTCCTAGCAACCCAGTGTACCGAGCAATGAGCAATGAAGGAGATTTCTAATATTTAGCCTGCATTCAAAAGAGATGTGCCAAAGGATATTTATAAGAATCCTAAGGGCATGCATTTTACCACAGCCATTTCATAAAATACTTTTAGGGTTTAGGTTTTAAGATTTAAGGGTTTACAGCATAGTTTTCAAATCGGAATGGACTGAATGGTTGGACCAGAAAAACTAGGATTTTTAGCCTAAAATTGTTGATTTGGTCAGCAAATTGTTGACCCGGGCAGTCCGATCATCAAATAGTTGAGCCAAACAACGATTTTAGCCGTTTTTTATTTTTTCTGTCAGAGCAGGCTTTTCGTTCAGACTAGACAATTGGTCCATTTGTCCTAGGAATTGGATCCCAAAACAGTTCCCTATGTTAAAACCTTGGTTTAGAGATTAATGTAGAGTTTATCATTTATGATTTAGGGGTTTGGAGTTTAGAGTTTAGATTCGAGGGTTTTAAGATATAGGGTTTAAATCTAAAAATCAAGATGTGATAGGACACATGTCCTCTAACATGGTTTAGGAGTCAAGTATTGCCCTGGGTAAGTATTACTTGAGGAACATTTATTTGGATAAATAAGTAATCAAAATAATAGAATTTTGAAAAATATTCTTAGATTTTGGCCACAATACATCCAAAATTCATGATTTTTGAACTGTCGTTAATCCGAACGATCAAACTATTGACTTATTCAACAGTTTTTTACCCATTTTTATTTTAATTTTTTATTTTTTTGTCAGAACAAATTATCCGTTTGAATCAAATGGTTGAACCGTCAACCAGGAAACTGCTGGACAGAACAGTTTTGATTCCGGATCGCTTTTTAAAACATTGCCAAAAATTTTCATATTATATTTGATACTGAAAATTCACTAAAGTGTCACTGAAGAGAATCTCCAAATTGACAATAGTGCTTCGTACAATATTAGAATTTAGAATATCATTAATTAATCCACGTTCAGTATTCTTCCAATGTTTAAAGGGAGAAGTACAAAATCACACGATGCAGAATTCTGAATTCCAGCCCCCCCTTACTAATAGCCCTCTGCCCCCCTATAAGCCACATCCTACCCGTGAATTTGACATCAATTCACGGTCAGGATGCATTCCCCCTGTACTTTGGGGCTAGAGAATTCTGATCTGGGCTGATTGGTACTTCTCCCATGTTTAAAAACATTCGCAAATATATCCTCACTCGTTAAAAACGATAAGATCCTTTTCATCTCTAACACATGTTACAGACCAGATGGAAGGATTAAGGAGCATTTACACATAAAATTACTCCTAAGGCTGTGTTTGGATGCAATGCATTGAAACAAAAACATGACAGTGCAAAGGATTTGAGTGTAAATTCTGACCTTTGTTTCATATTTTAACCTATTTTGTTTGGTTGCAGTATAAATGAAATAAGTAAGATATGAAGCATAGTAAAGTAAAATTTAAAATAAAATTAAACAAGAATTTGCATTTTTTTTAAATTTGCACTCCCATACATTTGTACTAAGTTTTAAATGTCTCTTAGGCTCAGTTTGAAAAGAGTACAAATGCAAATATATACAGTGCTAATGTATACAAAATAATATAAAATGTAAGGTGTGTACTCTACATATTTGCATTTGTACTCCTTCTAAACTGAGCCTTAGGTTCCATTTGTTTTTTAAGAAGTTATTTATCCAGATAAGTATTTTCCAGGAAATATTTACTCAGATAAACCGCATTCTGTCCATGAATTTGGCATCAATCCACAGTTAGAATTCATCCCACCTGTATAGTGGGGCTAAGAATTCTGAAGTGAGCTGAACAATCATTCTCCCTAACTTTTTTTTGGTTCTCAATACAAGATTATTTTCTATGAAAAATACAAAGGGTATTTATATAAAAAACAAAAAAAAAGGGGTCAGCCCTACAAAAAGGAGAATGGGACAGGTTTGGTTAATCCTGCAAAAAACCTTGATGCAAATCCAGTGTCCAATTTTGGGACCTGCGACTCCTACGGTCCTACCTATGATTCAAGGCTAACTGCAAGTGAACCCGGTTGACTTGTGAATCCAAATGTCTTACAAGTCCCACCTGACCGCAATTCATGGATAACCAACAATTCCAGATGTGCTGAGTCCCTTGTGGCAGAGACCCTCCACTTCTACCATAGACCACTATAAAATTTTGACTTTGGTGTTTTCTCAACTTAATCAGTCAATGCTTCTAATTTAATCACAAAAATTTCAACCAATGTTTTGAAAATTGACCCGGAATCAGAACTGCTTTGGCCATTGATTTCTAGGTCAGTAGTTCGACCGCTTGATTCAAAAGAATTACTTGTTACAATTTAAAAAATAAAAAAATAAAAAATAGTAAAAACCTGTTGTTCAAGTCAAACAGGTCAATGATTTGACCGTACAAGTCAGTGGATCGCTGATTAAGTCAACTGTCTTTTAACAAAAGAACCGTTCAAAAATAAAATGAAACTAATTGCTTGGACGATTTCTAGGCCTTATGTCAACCACAGTTCGGAAACCATGGTTTCAACAATCCATTAAAATTTAAAATGAGACCCAAAAACCAAAAATAACTGAATTGCAGGTATTAGAAACTCCTATCTTCAGTTGAAAAGCTTCTGTGCCCGTTTAGGAGGGATGGAGCACAGCAACTCCTGGCTTTTACTATACATAATCAATGTTTGGAGAAAAATCCCAAGACCCCAAATCAGTTGTCAATCGGTTTTTTGGCTGTCTGCTTCAGCCTCTTTTAGATGGTTTATCTGGAGCGCCTCAAAGCGGCTGAACCTGCTTTCTGAATGTTCTACTCTGCCCTCCCAAATAGGCACTCAATGGTGCTTCAAACCCATGAGAACTAAAGCCCAGAGCATTCTACAACCCATGAGAAGTTGAGAACAAAAGCCCACAGCATTCTACAGCCCAGTTGATTTTGTTTCTGACATTTGAATTGGGCTTAATGCTTAATGCTTGGACCACATCGACCATTCGATATTGAGTTTGTAGGCTTCTTTTGCCTTTCAATAGGGATATCTTGCATTCAAAGAAAAATAGATTATGCAAAAGAAAACTGTCATGAAGTGAAAGTAACGTTTGCATTGAGCTCTGCGTATTCATATCAGATCCTACTGGGCAATTTATTCTTCTCCGTTCAGTAGCTCTCCCCCACCTGCATTCTCAGAGGAGATTAGGTCGAGCTCAACCTTCTTCAAATTGATGACTGAAGACTAGGGGTGTCAATGAACTGGGTTTGGGGTGGACCCGTCCAAATCAAAATTAATTTGAACGGGTTGGACAGTCCAATAAAACATATTGAATTGGAACAGTCCAGACTTGGTGGTTCAAAGTATTTATTAGATTGGACTGGATCTGGCCCATTGTAATGGATTTATGTTGGATTGGGTCGAGTTAAACTAATATCCGGTCCATGGACAAAAGATAAAGAGTAGTGATCTCAATGGACTGGGTTTGGGTTAGACCAATTTGAATAGATTGAACAGACCAATAAGATATATTGAATTAGACATGGTCCAAAGTATCTATGGGATTGGATTGGACCCAAGGTTCAAAGTATCGATATGTAT